GGAAGGAAGGAAGGAAGGAAGGAAGGAAGGAAGGAAGGAAGGAAGGAGAGAAATGGGGATGAGAGAATGAAAGGAAGAAAGGAAGGGAGGGAGGGTAGAGGAAGGAAGGAAGGGGTAAAAGAAAAGGAAACAAAGAAGAGAGGAAAGAAAATGATAAGAAAAGAGTAAGAGAAGGAGAAAGTGAAAGGAAAGATGAAAAGGAAGGATAAAAATGGAATGAAGGAAGAAGAAGAAAAGGAAGGAAGGAAATGGAGGAATTAAACAGAAACGAAAGACGGGAAAAGGAGCGGACGGAAGGAAGGAAAGAGAAACGTTCAGGTATTTGCAAAGCTATCACCATATTTCTCCATAAAATGCCGGGCTAGAATATCTCGGTTCTTTTGAAAGTCCAGGAGGCACATTCACCGTTTGGGGGGCCGAGGGCCGGCATTCTCGCAAGCCTCCCCAAACCGAAAGGACCCCCGGGCGGAAGAAGGGCCCGAGAGCCGCGTCCTCCTCGGGGCGCTGCCTTGTGGCCTTTCCTTGCCCTCACTGGGCCTGTCGCTGGGCCTGCAGTTGGCGCAGACGCAGCTGGCGGAGACGCAGCGCCAGGTCCTTGGGCACCTTCCCGCCTTTGGCCAGGATCTCTCGCAGACGCTGCTTGGGGGTCTTGGTCAGGCGGAAGTCGCAGAGGGTGGGGTTGTTCTCGTAAGAGACGTGGCAGGTCCGGGTGACGGGGTGGTAGCCCTCGGCCTTGGCGGTCACTTCGTACTCGCCGGGGTTGAGCAGGCGCCAGTAGTCCCCATCGAAAGCTGCCGGGGGGGGGGGGGGGAATGGAAGAAGGGTGCTTAGTGGTGTCTGAGCTTGGCTGCTTTCTGGCAGACGTTTCATTACCCAGCTAGGGAACAGTATCAGTGCTTGAAGGGTTGGGGGGTTTGTGGAGAGGAGCAGGAGGAGGAGGAACAAAGGAGGATGGGGAAAACAGTAACAGGAGGAGGACGACTGAGGTCCTTGGTGCTCTCTGAGCTTGGTTGTTTTCTTGCAGACATTTAGTGGCCCAACTAGGTAACATCATCAGTGCTAGAAGGTAGTGGGGTTTGCAGAGAGGAGGAGGAGGAGGAAGAGGAGGAGGAGGAGGAGGAGAAGGAGGACGACGACTGTGGGGTCCTTGGTGCTCTCTGAGCTTGGTTGCTTTCTTGCTGGGATTTCATTACCGAACTAAGGAATATTATCAGTGCTAGAAGGCAGTGGGGTTTTCAAAGAGGAGGAGGAGGAGGAGGAGGAGGAGGAGGAGGAGGAGGAGGAGGAGGAGGAGGAGGAGGAGGACTGTGTGGTCCCTGGTGCAGTTTTCTTCCAAAAGTTTCATTACCCAACGAGGTAACATCATCAGTAATGTTGAACAGCATTGCTGACATTACCTAGATAGGTCATGAAATGTCTGCAAGGAAGCCACCCAGCTCAGAGACCACCATGGACACCACAGTCATCCTTCCTCCTCGTCCTCCTCCTTCTCCTCCTCCTCCTCCTCCTCTTCCTCCTCCTCCTCCTCTCTGCAAACGCCCCCTCCCTTCTAACCCTAATGCTGTTACCTAGTTGGGTCATGGAACATCTGCAAGGAAACCACCCTCCGTTTAACCCGGAGCTACCAATATTCTCCCTTATTGGTAAACGGAAGAGGAGTTTTAACGGGGAGACCCATTGCACCGGCTGCCCACATGGGCCAGGCCCAGACTTTTTGGTACCTGTCCTGATGTCGTGGTTGATGCCGTCAACAGAAATGATGGCATCAGCGATGCCTTGCTCCGTGTCTTTGTCCCGGACGATCCCCTTAATCCCTCGGTGGATCTGAAAGGAGGCAGACGATTAGCTGGCACTTTGGGGTTAAGGCCCCAGACTGGAAGAGCACACAGCAGTGAGTTCTAGTCCTGTCTTAGGGCCCAAAAGCAACCCCCCCCCCAAAAAAAATCCTCACTGTGGACAATGGGCTGGTTTAACGACTGTGGTGTTCCCTTAACCACCATGGTGATTCACTTAACGACTGCCGGACAAAAGAAAGGTTGTAAAATTGGCACAGTCACGTGATGACCTGCCAAACGATGGAAAACGACTTAGGACCGCCATGGCTTATGGCTCAATTACGATCATAAGTTGAGGACTTCCTCTATGCCAAATCCTATGTTGCTGTTCTCGAGTCTATAGCCCTGTGTGTGAAATACAGGGAGTCCTCGACTTACAGAGGTTCATTCAGTGACCGAAGGTACAACTGAAAAAACGAGGACTGTTTTTCACAGTTAATGACCATTGCAGCATCCCTCGTGGTCACGTGATCAAAATTCAGATGCTTAGTGACTCATATTTACGATGGTTGCTGTGTCCCGGGATTCCTTTTGGCGACCTTTTAACAAGCAAAATGTCAACTCATAAAATACACTGCTCAAAAAAATAAAGGAAACGCTTAAACAACGCAATGTAACTCCAAGTCAATCACACTTCTGTGAAATCAAACTGTCCACTTAGGTCGCAACACTGATTGACAATCAATTTCACATGCTGTTGTGCAAATGGAATTGACAACAGGTGGAAAGCATAGGCAGTTAGCAAGACATCCCCAATAAAGGAGCGGTTCTGCAGGTGGTGACCACAGACCACTTCTTAGTTCCTATGCTTTCTGGCTGATGGTTTGGTCACTTTTGAATGCTGGTGGTGCTTTCACTCTAGTGGTAGCATGAGACGGAGTACAACCCACACAAGTGGCTCAGGTAGTGCAGCTCATCCAGGACGGCACATCAATGCGAGCTGTGGCAAGACGGTTTGCTGTGTCTGTCAGCGTAGTGTCCAGAGCATGGAGGCGCTACCAGGAGACAGGCCAGTACATCAGGAGACATGGAGGAGGCCATAGGAGGGCAACAACCCAGCATCAGGACCGCTACCTCCACCTTTGTGCAAGGAGGGACAGGAGGAGCACTGCCAGAGCCCTGCAAAATGACCTCCAGCGGGCCACAAATGTGCATGTGGCTGCTCAAACGGTCAGAAACAGACTCCACGAGGGTGGTATGAGGGCCCGACATCCACAGGTGGGGGTTGTGCTTACAGCCCAACACCGTGCAGGACGTTTGGCATTTGCCAGAGAACACCAAGATTGGCAAATTCGCCATAGGTGCCCTATGTTCTTCACAGATGAAAGCAGGTTCACACTGAGCACGTGTGAAAGACGTGACAGGGTCTGGAGACGCCGTGGAGAATGTTCTGCTGCCTGCAACATCCTCCAGCATGACCGGTTTGGCAGTGGGTCAGTAATGGTATGGGGTGGCATTTCTTTAGGGGGCCGCACAGCCCTCCAAGTGCTCGCCAGAGGTAGCCTGACTGCGATTAGGTACCGAGATCCTCAGACCCCTTGTGAGACCATATGCTGGTGCAGTCGGCCCTGGGTTCCTCCTAATGCACGACAATGCTAGACCTCATGTGGCTGGAGTGTGTCAACAGTTCCTGCAAGATGAAGGCATTGATGCTATGGACTGGCCCACCCGTTCCCCAGACCTGAATCCAATTGAGCACATCTGGGACATCATGTCTCGCTCCATCCACCAACGCCACATTGCACCACAGACTGTCCAGGAGTTGGGGGATGCTTTAGTCCAGGTGTGGGAGGAGATCCCTCAGGAGACCATCTGCCACCTCATCAGGAGCATGCCCAGGCATTGTAGGGAGGTCATACAGGCACGTGGAGGCCACACACGCTACTGAGCCTCATTTTGACTTGTTTTAAGGACATCAAAGTTGGATCAGCCTATAGTCTTTTTTTCCACTTTAATTTTGAGTGTAACTCCAAATCCAGACCTCCGTGGGTTGCTAAATTTGATTTCCACTGATAATTTTTGTGTGATTTTTGTTGCCAGCACATTCAACTTTGTAATGAACAAAGTATTTTATAAGAATATTTCATTCATTCAGATCCAGGATGTCTTATTTTTGTGTTCCCTTTATTTTTTTGAGCAGTGTATTTCTCTGGTCTTTTTAGAGTTGTCAACAGAAAGGGAGGGGGGAGCAGTGCGGCAGCTTGCAAACCGAAACTGCATTCCATAAATGTTTTCAAAGATAGCAACTAGGTGACTGAAGTTTGTCGTGCAAATATCTAACTGGAGAGCCTGATTGATGATTCTTGGCTATGGATGTGTCCCATTGGAGAATATGAATTACGATACACCCAGGGGGTGGAAGGAAAACCAGGGTCAAGGGTGACAATGAATTATGGATTAGGACCCCGGGTTGAAACGCAAGGGAGAGGGAGGGCGAGCAGTACAGGTGACCCCTCCCTACCTGTTCCATGTACAGCAACAGGGATTCCTTATTGTTCTCCCACTCCTGGGGAAGCTCCGACGCGTGCGGGAATTTGTCGCAGGAGAGCTCGATGGTCACCTCAAAGCAGTTGGTATGCAGGTAGCTGAAGTCATTCATACCTGCAAGAGAAGAGGACCTGAGCAGGCATCTCTTTGACCCCAGGGGCTGTTGTGATTAGCCAGCAGCAGGTGCAGATGGCTGAGGAAAGCGAGGACTCAGATGAGGGGCCAGGACCATTAGGGGGTGGACTGCTGCCTTCGGAGATTGTGGGGGCTGGCAGCAGCAATGAGGAGGTTCCCGAGGAGTCTGTGCCAAGTGCACATGCGCGCAGGAAAGAGCAGCTGCAGCAGCACGGGCGACTCGGGAGTAAGGCTGCAAGGTGATGGCCCCTCCTTCAAGAAGATAAAAGCCAGCTGTGAATCGGACGTTCTTTGCAGGAAGCAAAGACGTTTTTGAAACTCAGCCTCGTGGACATTACAGTATCTTCAGTTGGTATCTGAAGACTCTGGTGTTGTGAAATATTTTTCATCTGTTATTCTTGGTAGCCTCGCACAGTTTTGGCAAGGTTTGTGTTTATCAAAGTTAATTAGTTTGCGGCAGCCTTTTAACCGGGGATTCGTAAGAATCATTAAAAAGGTTTCTGTTCCCTTTGGTTCGGGTTTGTTTTATTGGAAAAGGGTTTGGGTCAGAACAGGTGTAGAGTTCCCCAACCTTTCTGGGTGGGTGGGTGGGTGGGTGGGTGAAGCAGAGGTCGGCTTCAAAAAATTTAGCAATGGGTTCTCTACCTGGTTGCTGGATGGGCGTGGCTTAGTCAGCCTCCTGCACCATGGCAGTGTGTGTGTGTCTGTGTGTTTGCCCTCCTGGGCTCCGGAGGCTTTCCTCGAGCCTCCAAGAGGGCGAAAACGGCCTCTGGAGCCCGGGGAGAAATGGGCCCATTTCCAGCCTTCCGGAACTTTCCAGGAGACCCAATTTTCATCTTCCCCGAGCCTCCGTGCGCAATGCCTCTTGAAAAACCCAAGGGACAACCCTCTGTTTAGTGCTAGTCTGTTTAGTGTACTGCTAGTCCTCATGGAGGACGTCGCGTTCACCTACTTCCCGGCACGGTGTGCCAGTTGGCTCCGTTGATGATGTTTCCTTCCTGCATGAAGTCGTCGTAGTGGCACCGCCGCCGTTCGCTATCTACCATCACCAGGTTGGAGGTGGCGTAGACGGTGGCCAGCCATCGGAAGACGGCGTCATCCGCGGTGGGGGTCAGCTCCTGGGCTTTCCAGTAGGTGCGGGTCATGTCGAAGGGGTAGGACACCACCAACTCCCCTCCGTGAAGGTTGGCGCTCAGCACGAAGGGGTAGCGCTGCATCCAGCTGATAACCGCCCGGGTTTCTGGGGCAACCTTGGCAGAAAAAAAATAACAGTCCAGGATAAGCCAGAGCAGAGATGACCTCCCTTTAGGCCAGGGGACCTGGGGCAACTTTACAGACTTGTGGACTTCAACTCCCAGAATGCCCCAGCCTGCGTTGAAGGCCACAAGGCTGGCTGGCCGGCTGAGGCATTCTGGGAGTTGAAGGCCGCAAGGCTGACTGGCTCAATGGCCGGCTGAGGAATTCTGGGAATTGAAGGCCAAAGGCTGACTGGCTCAATGGCCGGCTGAGGAATTCTGGGAGTTGAAGGCTACAAGGCTGACTGGCTCAATGGCCGGCTGAGGAATTCTGGGAATTGAAGGCCGCAAGGCTAATTGGCTCAGTGGCCGGCTGAGGAATTCTGGGAGTTGAAGGCTGCAAGGCTGACTGGCTCAATGGCTGGCTGAGGAATTCTGGGAGTTGAAGGCCAAAGGTTGACTGGCTCAATGGC